GTAGACTACTGTATTTTTTATTAATCACCATGTTACAGGCACTGTTCAGAAAAAAACAAACATTTACTGTATTTGTATGTGTTACCGGTACATATTTAATTAAAAGTTTAAAAAAAAAGTTCTGTGTAAATAAATCATGTTACAACGTGAACACCCGCAGCTTATAGAGAAGTGTGGCCTATTTATGTAAAATTTTAATTTTCTTTTGAAATTTAGTGGGTGCGGCTTATATTCAGATGCGCTCAATAGTCCAGAAATTACAACCTCTTCAACGTTCTCCCAGAGAGAAGGCATCTCTGTATCTGGTTCGTCTTCTAAGAGGTAGCTGGAGCATATTCCAGCTGTCACCAGTCCATCAAATGACCAACATGCCCAAACATCTGTACTGCTTGTATCAAGTATAATCTTCACTCAGTCTAAAGGAACCAAGTCCATTTTCACACTGAAACAAACTGATGAAACCAGAGAACTAGCAGAAAACCCTGGCTGAAATTTGAACACAAGTTCTTCGTACCACAGAACATAACCCCTCCACCATAAAAACACATTAAAGGTCTCAACCAAATTTAAACTGAGCTTCATCAGTCACATCAACTTGCCACTGAATACTGAAGAATACCAGTAAAAGCAGCGTACTTAGTTATCACAAAGCCATTTCTGGGACTGAAGGGTGTCTGGAACACGTAATTTTTATTTATACATTTTTTTCTGCCTGACTATAATCCCTATTTCAAATAAATTGGGACAATGTGTGTAAATACACTGTATTATATTATTGTTTAGCATATATCTTAGATCCTTATTTACTGTTTCTTTTTATACTTTACATTTTTCCTTTTTTGGGTGTAACTGGGACCTTGAGTACACAATTTTGTTTCACCTTGTGTACCACATGTGATGCATATGATATTAAAGAACCTTGAACAGAATGCAAAACATACAAAACCATTTTTATTCATAATGGATGATGGTAAACATATCAAATGTTAAAACTAAAAATAATATAATTTTTAGAGAAAAGTACCTCCCAAAAAAGTTGGGATAGAGGCAACAAAAGGCTGTGGTATAATGAAGGAACAGAAGAAGAAACATTTTATTTAATGTTCAAGGGATGGTTTTATTTAATCAAATAATTAGGTGGTCAGTTAGATGACTTGTATTTTAGAGAGGGTGAATCTCTCAGATGTAAAGATGGGCAGAGGTTCACCAGTCTGTGAAAACTGCATCTAAAAATAGTGGAACAATTTTAGAATAATGTTTGTCAACAAAAACACATTAAGACTTTAAATAATTCATTGTGTGCAGTTTATAATCACATCCAAAGATTCAAGAATCTTCATAAAAATCTCTGTGCAGAAAGTAAACATTGGATGCTCATCTTACGGTTCTTGGCAACACCGAATTTAAAACAACTGACTGTTTTGAAAGAACCATCCTGCCCGTTATCAGTACACAGTTCAAAGGCAGCCTCTCTGATGGTGTTGGGGTGCATTGTACTTGACCTGTACAGCTTACACATCTGAAAAGGCACCATCATTGCAGAAAAGTATATACACAAGTTTTGGAGCAATGTATGCTCCCATCCAGACCATGCTGCTTTCAGGGAAGACCTTGCACATTTCAGCAAGACAATGCTAAACTACATCCTGCCTTAAAGATGTTTAGAGACTGTTGTTAGAAGATATGCTTCAGAGAGGGAAACATGACCCTGTCCCAACTTTTTTGAGATGTGTTGCTGCCGTACAACTCAACAATACTTTTTTATTTGAAAACAAAAAGTTACAATTTCTTAATTTCAGCAATGAACATGTTTAGTGTTCTGCTGTGAATAACATATTCAGAGTTCACAGGATTCGGGAATCATTGGATCCTGGTCTTATTTACATACAACGTCCTAGCTTTTTCAGAACTGGTGTCGTAGACTGAGTACATGACATTTAGCTCAGGTTCCTTCAGAGAATCACCAGCGTTGACTCACTCCTGCAAAACAGATGTCTGAGGTGCAGCCTCTGAATACTAATGCAACGATAACATCAAGGCCTCAGCCCAGCAGTAAATAATCCTCCTGAGGTTTCAGGGCATAATGCGGGATGCTAAAATGTGATTATTTGGAGTAACAGACTAATTTGAAAATGCAAATATAATTTTGTTTGCTCAAACTGCATCAGGACTGCCTGCTCTGAAGCACATCACATCCCTGCCGGCTTGAAATTGAATCGCTCTGAAGCGCCTCCTCCTTCAGCTGTCTGCCTTCATGCTTCACTTTTTGTCTAAAAGCATTTACTGTTTCCATATGGTCTTAAAATATAAATAAACCCATATACATTTTTGCTGCTCTGAAAAAATAAAATATATGAATTAGATTCAGGATTCATTTTTAGTTATAAATGTTCGATTTTAGGTAAAACAGCTGCTTGAATTACAAAAGCTGACATTTTATGGTTTTATGCTTATTCACACACCAACCCTGCTTCCATTATTTCCTCAAAGGCCAGCACTCCCCTCTACTGGCAGGAACTTTCAAACATCATCTTGGTTTATGAAATCACTAACTGAACCTTTATTTGTTCAACAGATGTGGCTTTAATGATTTTAGCTGATTGGTGCCTGGGGTGTCTTGGCGCAACACTCGAGTTCTGACAACTCTGGTGCTCATCGTCATCAGGAGGACAGGGCCCGCTTCGCAGACTCTTCAGAAGAACTGGTCCAATTGTTCCATCACCCATGTCTGCAGTGTGACAGTCTGTCAGTCTTCAGTACAGCGCTGCACCAAGTCTAACCTTAAATGAGCTGCTGAAACGTTCCCACAGCTGAACTCATTAAGAGACCGGGCTGAACGGTCTCGGATCCAAACCGATTGTAATGAGCTCCATCCTCAAAAAGGATTAGGTTGAAATAAAAGATTAGATTATAAAATGTTTTAGTCTGAAAAAAAAAATAAATCTGAAATCACAGTTAAAAGTTGCAGGAAGTGCTCACCTGCTCTAACGTTGTAAAAAACTGATTCTTGTCTGATCACACAGTAAATCCATTTTATTTACGATGATTTTACACAAGATCCCTCAGAATAAATGTAACGTACTGAAATTTAAAAGGTTTCTAGGCTCAATCATCCAGGTAGACAACAAAAAAGGTTAAATCATTTCATCTGGACCAGTTAACGTTTCGTCTTTCATCCAGAAGACTTCATCAGTCTGCAGCCTGCCAACCAGATGTGTCACAGAAGTATCCTTCATGGAAGACGAAACATTTCTCCCTTAATATCCTGATGAATGCTCAATAATCCAGGTAGAAAAATCCAAAAAAGTTCAATCTGGTCCTCTGGACATTCAAAAGAATACACAATATTACTCTGTTTGTGCCAGGGGACTGGATCTTTGGGATGAACCAGTCTTTGCCGTAATGTATTTTGGGGTTTAAAAGCCACTGGGACGTTATGTTTAGAAAATAAACATCTCAGTTTCTCTGATACTCCCTCAACATACGGAATGACCACTGGTCTGGGTCTGGGTTCCTCCGGGAGGATCCAGTCCCCCGGCACAAACAGAGTAATGTTGTGTATGCTGTTCAGGTCAGGAGGGCTGTGATCGGTCTTACATTGGGGAAACTAAACAGCCACTGGCCAAAAGGATGGCCCAGCACAGAAGAAAAACATAATCAGGCCAGGATTCTGCAGTCTACACTCATCTCCAGGCCAGCGGTCACTCTTTCAGGGATGAAGATGTTCACATCCTGGACAGAGAGGAACAATGGTTTGAGAGAGGAGTAAAGGAGGCCATCTTTGTGAAAATAAATCGTCCATCATTAAACAGGGGTGGAGGCCTCCGGGTTCAACTGCCCCCCTCTTAAAACAGCCATCAGTGTGCTAATGATCCATTGTTAGGCTGATGGTCCTTCTTTACCATGTGAGCAGCTGGTTTTGGTTGTCAGCAGCAAACTGGTTGATCCACTCTGAGAAGGTGCGATTTAAGAGACTGAGCTGAATACAGCACTTCAGACTGAGGAAGTCTCTCCGATGAGAGACGAAACTTTTCTATATATTTTTTTTGCTTTGTTTTGTTTTTTTTGAATGTCCAGAGGACCAGATTGAACTTTTTTGGATTTCTCCCTTAAATAAACTGGTCCAGATGAAATGGTTTAACCTTTTTGTTGTACTGAAACTTATTCAACAAATGGCCCAACACATCCGAATTCTTACAATTTCCTCCTCTTTGTTTTAACTCATTGGGCTATATGTTTAAATTTTTTTTTCTTTTACACCCACCACCACAAAAGGTGGGTCATTATGAAATTAGGCGTTTTGTCTTTTTGTTAGCAAAATATCTCATGAATCAGCAAAGAATTAATTAAATTCCCAAAAATGGACAGTTTCTACAACGAAATAACTTCTACAAACCGATTCAAGATGGGCGTCACAGCTAAAAGACCTCAACACAAACCCACATAATTCAGTATCTGTAGAATACTGAGCTAAGATTTGGTGTGGTGGTAACCGAGTCATCATCATCAGTGCCAACAGACTGCAATTGTTTAAAACTTCAGGCATGGCAGGAAGATACCCTTCCAAGGATTCATTTTATAAAACCAGTTGTTTTTTGAAGAAATGCATGTCGCCCACTGCCTCGCATGGTGAAGTTTTAACTAGGATCTTGTGGGATCTGTTACCATTCAGAGTACGTGATGGAGATCTGTAAACCTAAGTTAAACTAGTTTTTGGTTTGGCTGAGGTCAATTAGCCGTAGTGGTCATGTTGAACTATTCGATGAGTTAAGCTGAAAATGAATCCAGTGACTTTCTGAGGTGTTATAATGTGTTCAATGTTTCATGAACCAAACTGCGCGCGCACACACACACACACGCGCACGCACGCGCACACACACACACACACACACACACACACACACATTTACGTCATGGTGATGGGTACTGAAGAGGAATGACGTTCCTGTAAAATAAATATGACGCTCGCTTTTCAGCTGTACTTGAAAATGTCCTCAACCCTACAGATATGTCTGGAATTGGGCCAACATTTGTACCAAATCGATAAATGAACGCTTTAGAACAAAGAAATCTCATGACAGAAAAGCCCCCTCCATCAATATGAATTAGCTTCCAAATTTAATTTAATTCAAACATTCGGAGTAGTTCTGAGCGGGCACTGCTGGTTCATCAGTGCATGATCAGGTCTCCTCCTCAGGCCGGAGGTTTGAAGGACATTTGTTTGACGACGGCAGCGCAACTCTTCAGTTCAGCATCAGCTGTTGTAAAGAGGCACCACCCTGTCGATGGTGGCCCTGCAGATGGGACATTTCTTTGGCTCCGGCAGGGCGTCGTGGCACTCGGCGCAGGCACACACGTGACCGCACTCCAGAAACACGCAGGAGCGCTCCCGGCTCAGACACACAGTGCAACTGGTAGGAGACACGCTGCTTTCCTCGACGTTCAGCTCCCGCAGGTGCTTCCGCTGCTGCTCCTTGAACTCCTCCAGCATGCTCCTCTTCTTCTTGCCCTGTCTGCAGTGAATGTATCGCCTCCATATTATGAAGAGGAGCGTGGAGCAGGCAGTGAGCCCAAACACCAGGGCCAGAATCCTCCACAGCCGAACGCCGTTCACCTGCTTCTTCAGGAGAGACTCGTAGTCCTGCCGGCTGAGGAAGTAGCAGAAATCCTGTTTTGGGGGTTGGAGCTTGATGAGGTTGTTATCCAGGACCAGCTCTCCCACTCCGGTGATGCTGTCGCCCACTCGCAGCATCTCCTCAGTCTCGTGGATGCCCTTGGGTCGCTCACCGCTGATGAAGTGACCGATGACGTTGGACAAGGACTGGACTGTGGGGTGGAAGTTCTCGTAGGTGGTCTCCAGGTCCAACTCTGCAGCATCTAGTGGACGTATGACTCGTACTGTTGTGGTGATGTCATCATCATGCGACCCGAGGGCAAATGGAACGGTGTTAGTGCGCTGGTGGATGACTTTCTCCGTGCTGTTCCTGTGCAGAAATAATCGTTACACTTGAGCTGCATCAAGTCATTATCGAGTCACTGCTGATCTTTTTAATATGTGTTACAAAAGTACTCACTCTACAGGTATTCTTTCTATTTTGTTGTCTTATTACTTGGAATTTTGTGGTAAATGGACTGTACTTATACATCACTTTTTTATCTTATCAAATCACCTAAAGCTCTTTACAACAATCTGTGCCTCATTTACCCATTCATACAGCACTGTACTAGATCTGTACAGAGAATAATCAGAGCTTTATCACATTCATACACTGATGGGACACACATCGGAAGCAATGAGGGGTTCAGGTCTTGTCCAGGGACACTTCAGCATGTGACTGCTGGTGGAATCAAACTCCCAACTCTCCCATAGGAGGGCGACTGGTCTAACCACTCAGCCACTGCTGCCCCAAATGTATTCAACCTTAGAGGTCAATAAGATCCACCTGCAGGTGATAGAAGTGTCCAATGATCTGAACTTGTTGGAACAGCTCCTACAATCAACATCTCAAAGTACTGTGCAGGCCACATACATCACGAAGACCAAGGAACTCCCCAAACAGGTCAGAGACAAAGTTGTGGAGAAGATTAGATCAGGGTTGAGTAATATCCCTGAACACTGACAACCATTATTAGACGATGGAAAGATGACGCCACCACAGCAAACCTATCAGGAGGGAGTTGTCCACAAAAACTCAGAGCGGAAGAGGAGCAGAGCGTTATTCAACATCCAGGAGGTCAAAGACCGCTGATGGAGCTGAGCAGCTCCTCTGCAGAGATGAGAATCTGTCCACAGGAGCACAGAGCTGGGCTTCATGGAAGAGTTGTTTTTAAAAAGAACATAGAAGCTGCTCAGACTTACAGGAAAGCTGTGTGGAGCCAAACAGAGACATTGTTGAGGGAAACCTTTCAAAGGCTTCCAGAAATTTGAGACTGGGACGGAGGTCCATCTTCCATCAAGACAATGAACCTGAACACCCTGTTGAGGCAACATGCCAGTGGTTTAAGGAGAACCAGCTAGATGTCCTGAGAGGCCCAGTCCAACCCCAGAGCTCAGTCCAACTGAGGATCTCTGATTTTCCAGACTGTTGGACACGAGCAGCACCTGTCCAACCTGACGGAGACACAGCAATTGGCTCATGACAAATTGACAGAAACCCCAGAGACGAAGCAAGACCATGGAGACGGACCTGAAGAGACTTACTGATGAAACTATTAATAAAGGAAGCGACAAAGTATCGACTTCTGGAGGCTGAATATTTATGTATGCTCAGTTTCTTTGTTATGTTTTCTTTAGAATCATTTAAAAACTAGTTGTTTTCCATATTTAACTTCATCATTTGAATTATTTTCATAGAATAATTACTGATAAACAATTTAAAGTCCATTTTGAATTCCAGGTTGTGGGAAAACAACACAGAACACCAAGAGGGGTACAAGTACAAACCGGATTCAAAAAAAGTTGGGACACTAAACAAATTGTGAATAAAAACTGAATGCAATGATGTGGAGGTGCCAACATCTAATATTTTATTCAGAATAGAACACAAATCACAGATCAAAAGTTTGAACTGAGAGAATGTATCATTTTAAGGGAAAAATCTGTTTCCAAATTTCATGGCGTCAACAAATCCCAAAAAAGTTGGGACAAGTCCATTTTTACCACTGTGTGGCATCCCTCCTTCTTCTTACAACACTCAACAGACATCTGGGGACAGAGGAGACCAGTTTCTCAAGTTTAGAAATAGGAATGCTCTCCCATTCATATCTAATACAGGCCTCTAACTGTTCAATCGTCTTGGGCCTTCTTTGTCACACCTTCCTCTTTATGATGCGCCAAATGTTCTCTATAGGTGAAAGATCTGGACTGCAGGCTGGCCATTTCAGTACCCAGATCCTTCTCCTACGTAGCCATGATGTTGTGATTGCTGCAGAATGTGGTCTGGCATTATCGTGTTGAAAAATGCAGGGTCTTCCCTGAAAGAGATGACATCTAGATGGGAACATATGTTGTTCTAGAACCTGAACATAGTTCTATGCATTGATGGTGCCTTTCCAGACATGTAAGCTGCCCATGCCACAAGCGCTCATGCAACCCCATACCTTCAGTGATGCAGGGTTCTGAACTGAGCGTTGATAACAACATGGGCTATCCTTGTCCTCTCTGGTCCGGATGACATGGCGTCCCAGTGTTCCATAAAGAACTTCAAATTGTGACTCATCTGACCACAGAACAGTCTTCCATTTTGCCACACTCCATTTTAAATGACCCCTGGCCCAGTACAAACGTCTGAGCTTGTGGAGCTTGCTTAAGAAATGGCTTCCTCTTTGCACTGTAGAGTTTCAGCTGGCAACGGCGGATGGCACGGTGGATTGTGTTCACTGACAATGCTTTCTGGAAGTATTCCTGAGCCCATTCTGTTATTTCCTTGACAGTGGCATTCCTGTTTGAGGTGCAGTGACGTTTAAGGGCCCGGAGATCACGAGCATCCAGTAGAGTTTTACGGCCTTGACCCTTACGCACAACGATTGTTCCAGATTCTCTGAATCTTTTGATGATGTTATGCACGGTTGATGATGATAACTTAAAAGTCTTTGCTATTTTACGCTGGGTAACACCATTCTGGTACTGCTGCACTATCTTTCTGTGCAACAATGGTGGAATTGGTGATCCTCTTACCATCTTGGCTTCTGAGAGACACTGACACTCTGAGAAGCTCTTTTTATACCCAGTCATGTTGTCAATTGACCTAATTATTGTTAATTGGTCTTCCAGCTGTTCGTTATATGCTCAATTTTCTTTTTCCAGCCACTTATTGCTACTTGTCCCAACTTTTTGGGGATTTGTTGACACTGTGAAATTTTGAATCAACATATTTTTCCTTTAAAATGTTACATTTACTCAGATTAAACTTTTGATCTGTCATCTATGTTATATTACGAATAAAATATTGACATTTGCCATCTCCACATCATTGCATTCAGTTTTTATTCACAATTTGTTTAGTGTCCCAACTTTTTTGGAATCCGGTTTGTATTTGCAACACACAGAAGCTGCAGCTTCAAACTTTATGAATCAGAAATTGGACAAAAATGTTTCTTTCATATCGAGAAAACATTTTTAAAGGCCGTCTGCATAAAATCCATCTCAGCTCTTCTCGTTAAACATAAATGCACGTTTCTGGTGTCCCTCTATGTAGCAGAACTTAGGTCTGTAGCCCCGTGTGATGTTTGCAGACCAGAAACATCTGCCTTTTTAAAGTTTCAAAATAAGCCCCAGATAAGCTGTGCAGCTCACAGTCAGACCTTCTTTCTGAAACCCTTCCAAAGCCTGGCGAGCACCAGCTGCTCAGACTCTACGCTTCGACTTGAAACTTTGTAGACATTTTCAGGAGAATGTGTAGTACACTATATACTTTTATTTGAAATTTCATCGTCTTCATCCGTCTATCAGGTGCTGAACGGTGGACACAGTGGTTCCACAATGTGTGCAGAACATGTGACTCACAAAACTAAATTCTGCAGAAGCTGAATTCTTTGTGCACAACTTGTTTTGTTTTTCACAGCGTACACTCCCTTCAGAGTTATTTCCAGCTGTGAGAACACATTTCTTCCTGAGGATCTGCTGCTGTTTGTTGCACGTATGAACCAACAGCAGCACCATGTGGGTCTGAAGTTCTGGGCATCAAACACTGTGAAAACCATTTTAACTAAAACTTGACATTACTGGCACATGTGAGGTGTTCACACCTACAGAGCCAGCAAAAAGACTTGTCAGTTTTGGTTTTAAGAAATATTTAAAGTCCAACACCTACCATTTTTTTTTATTGCATATCCAGCTAAATAGACACTTTTTTTTTTTTTTTTTACTTGTTTTTAAAATGAATATGAGTTTTCAAACTGCTGCTTTGGACACAGCCCCTCACTGGTCATAAAATTAGAATTTCATGAAAAAGTTGATTTATTTTAGTAATTCCATTCAAACAGTGCCAAGGCAACAATGCCAAGATGGCCGTGCTCAGAGCAGTGGCAGCTTCACAGGCTCCCGGTACCATCCCAGTTTTTAGAAGTTTTGATATTGACTCTGTGCCTGACTCTGCGCGATTTATGCATGTGAACTATAGCCGAACCGAACTGATGAGAATAGGAGTGGATTTGCCACGAAATATAGCAGAAATCAGCAACAAACTCAAAACTACGCTTGGCAGAATGCAGGTCTTAAAGTCATCTACCTGGAAGCTGCAGCAGAGGTGTTCCAGCGGGCAGAAGAGGAAGCGCTGCTCCCAGTTTAAGAGGAGAGGATGCTGGGCGGGGGTTATGGTGAGGCTACAAGCTAACGCTAAAGCCGGTAAACTCCCCATACCGTCTCTCTTTCTGTCAAATGTCCACTCGTTGGACAACAACGTGGATTTACTTCGTCTGAGAGCGGGCGCCTCAGAAGAGATGAAGAAGTGTGCGGTGCTTTGCCTCACAGAAACGTGGATTACAAGCGAAACGCCGGATACAGTCTTCCAGCTGGATGACAGACTTTTTTTTCGAGCGGACCGCTGCAGCGAGCTAACAGGGAAATTACGGGGAGGCGGAGTGTGCATTTACGTGAGTAAAAGTTGGTGCACAAACTGTACTGTTGTAAATAGATCATGCTCGAAGGCTTTGGAGCAAATAACAGTGAAATGTCGGCCACATTATCTACCCCGCGAGTTTACGGTGAATTTCATCACTGTCGTTTACATTCCTCCGGACGCTAATGCTAATGAATCACTGCAAGAGCTTCATGATATCATCAGCTCGCTGCAGAGCAAACACCCCGAAGCTCTTTACGTGGTAGCCAGAGACTTTAACCATGTGAATCTAAAGGACTGTCTCCCAAGCTTTTATCAACATGTGGTAATTCCAACACATGGAGACTACACGCTGGACCGTGTTTACACAAACGTAAAAGATGCATACAAAGCCGAACCCCGCCCCCACCTAGGACTGTCAGACC